ATAAATATATATATATATATTCATTAAATGATGACCGGTTCACGATACTAAATCAAATCCTGTTTTCGACTAGCACTTTGCAAATAGACCCAGAGGCATCTTTGTATTTGCTGGTTTGATTTGGTGTCAATAAATCGATGACGCAGAAATTACTTCGCCTAATCTTTAATAAATTAGCGCAGATAATGTGCAAAATGTACACCACAAATTATACAAGCGATGCTACTATGAATAAGRCAATAGCAAGTGCCGATATGCTCAGAGGCTGGTTGATTAACCCGGCTACGGCGAAGTTACATAAGTACTGTGCATTTTATTTACTTTGAGCTTTACTTAGAATTTTACTACCTTACAGTTGATTGAGAAAAGTTTTGCGTATTTTAAAATGAGGCGGCTTCGTTTGGTTCACAAATTCCACCTTCACTGCATTCATTGGCGAAAAAGTGGTCTAAGGGATGATTTTAGAATGGAAGATGCTAAATGGTTACCCATTGRTTAAACTTAATCGCAAGGTATATTTCAAGGGAGCGTTATCGAGAAATTGGAAAATTAAAATTGATAGAATAATTGAGAGAACGAATAGAGAGAATTGGATATGAGGTAAATTACCTAATGACAATAATTCTAATATTTGTGAAGAGAAAACATTTGGGACTATATGYCAGATGAAAACCAGACGAAAGACAAAGTGATGGGAAGTCTAATTTAAAGCCTTTTGATAGCASCTTCGATCTTAGTAAATGTGTATTAGCTTCTGTTTGAAAAGGACTAATTGGAAAAGGTTTCGATCTTTCGTATTGTTTGTATTTAGTATTTCTTTTCTCCGTTAAACCTATATAATTTGAAATATATTTACATAACTGAAATTCCTCTATAATAAGGATATGTATTTATTTATTTATCTATTAAATGGAAAATAATATTATAATACAATTATTGTCTTACAGAGTAAGAAGCAGTGGATATGTATATATTTTAGAAATAATATAAGGGTTAAGCCGACAAATTGTTTTGAGAGAAATTGTCATTCGAGACACAGTTGACAAGAATGAAGGGCTCCAACATGAAATCAGCGATTAGTAATATTAACACAACCTCATCATCATCCTTTAAGAGTGGTYTCAGTCATACGAAATTTGCGAAAAAATACAAATACTCTGAATGATTGCCAAACGATTTTGTTTTTATTGTTATTAATTCGATTTGTTCGAATTTGTTTACGAATATGCGTGGTATGAAAAACACTTATAAACGAAAACGCTTATAATCCACAGCTTTACTTTCATATACATATGATATTAGCCACTTAAGTGTACATATATATATGTTTGTCTATATGTAAATTGATCGGTTTTTATTGTATAAAACKGGAAAAATTTCTTGCTTTATTTTCGGACTTTTTTTTATTTGTATATCGCAGTGATTCCCCAAATTTTAGTGTTGTTTAGCAAAAGAATATGCCAATAAGAAGATAATTGTTAAAAAATCTCTAAATTAGCACACGATCTGTTATAGTACATATATAAATATATACATAAATAAATATTTTTTTTATTTTTTTTTTTTAATTTGATGGTAGTACATATGCTTCTAAATTTACAAACTTTAATTTATTGTTATTTATAGAGATAGGTGATTGATGTGAGAAGTAATGGTAAGGTCATCTATACATATGTAGGTATCGGCACAGGGTGAATGTACTACGATTGTTATAAAAAATAATTATTTATTTAATAATAAAMAAATTTAGAATTTTTAGAAAATATTTCTAGATATTTCCTTTCACTCTTGGTTCATATCTAATAATTATATATTTTTTTCATAATTTTGAAGTTAAAAAAATATTTTTTTTAAATGGGTAAGCTCTTTACTCGTCAGAAAATCCAAGCAAGCAAGTTTTTGCTCCTTACAATATTAAAGAATTATGCACATATTCYTACAAAAATACATATACGGGCAGACACATACATATCTATATATGCGATACATTAACTTGTGAAATCTATGATGATTTTGCTAAATGTCTAACAAACAATTATTATTTGCTGTCTTTATTTCTAACTCATCAATTTATGTAGTAATTATGGATTGCAAAAGTTTYGGGGATTTTCGGTTTGCCCGTAGCGTCCCCACTAGAGTTTTGTACAATTATTTTTCAGCAAAACAAATAGGTGCCATCTAAGACAAATGGTTACCTCCATACAAATACATCATCCAAACCGTCAGTTCAGAGAAACTCACATCAAACCGTTTTTTACCAACTAATCTGCTGGATGATTAATGGGTTTCCTATGGGAACTTATGCATTAAAAGCTCGCAAAGAAAGAGTATAAATGCCGGCGCACACTGCTAAGTGGGATCACAAGAACTTTGGGATTACAATCGTTTACTACAAYATAATACTRTTGCGAAATGAAGCTATTCCTGGCTGTACTTTTCGCATTGTGCGTCATCGCGTACRCTTATCCCAGTACAGGCGCCGAGGATGCAGGCCAAGAGACTTTGGAAACGGTAAATGTGCCGCTGGCAGTGGATGTAGATGTGGAAGGTAGACGTCTAGCACGCCACGGTGGTCGCATTGGTTTTGGCGGTGGTGGCTTTGGTGGTCGCGGCGGCTACGGCGGTGGTTCTCCATTCGGCGGTGGCGGCTACGGTGGTGGTTCTCCGTTCGGTGGTGGCGGCTATGGCGGTGGTTCTCCGTTCGGTGGTGGCGGCTATGGCGGTGGTTCTCCGTACGGTGGTGGCGGTGGCGGTTCTTACAGCAAAGCTTCCGCAAGTGCTCAAGCCTCTTCCGGTTCATATGGTCGTTAAATACAGCAGTGTAATGTGATAACATTTTTTTCTTTCTTAATAAAACAAATATTCAACAAGAAATTTTATATCTTTATGTGAAATTTGTCAGACTTCTATAWAAAGCTTCCTGAAACTATAAAAGCGAGTCACAAGAAATTAATGATTATGCCTAACCTTCAAAACGAATGTGTATTATACCTTACAGCGGTCAGACAATTGTTCCGCGAATTTTCGCTTTTCAAAGGCAATAAATTTAGATTGTTAAAAAAATTGTAAAAAAGAATCGTGTATAAAGGTTAAATAAAAGTTTGTATAAACTAAAATATATATAAAAATGATGCTGCCGAGTCCAATAGGTGCTTGGACGAGTATTATCTGAGCTTTGTACCGGAGAGTACAACCATTCAAAAATAGGTTGCCAAACTCCGTAGAAGTGACAMCGAAGGCAAAGGGCCCAGTCGACTTTTGAAAGGAAGAAACAAGTAAACTTACATACGAAAAAAAGGAAACCACACAATTATTATTTTTTGATCATAAAGCTTAGTTTGATAGACATTTTTGGCACTCTAAGAACAGTAAAAGAGGATGTTGGTTGCTCCGAATCGTATGTTAAGGATAAACTAAACTGTTATTTTATAAAAAGTCGTTGTTATCCAAGATTTGTAGCGGGGSCAGCAACCATTCAAAAATACATTGCGAAATTCCCTAGAAGTGACACCGAAAGGTTAAGTGAACTTATTTTTATGATCATAAAGCTTTGTTTGATAGTTTTAATGTTAAATGCCTTGTTGAGCAAAATTTGACTGTGCAAAGTGGATGCCTCGCGGCCTCACAGTCGATCGACTTGCTATGTCAAAAATCAAGACAAACTGTGAAAAAGCCTGAATCGATCATCGAATTGTTTCCGCAAAGAGGGCAAAGATTTATGGACATTTTCGATGTGAAAGTGAAGTAAATTTAGCAGTCATTTTAACCATAAATTGCTGCTGACAACATTAGTTATACCAAATCTTGACTGCTTTTAAACTGGAAATTAATTAATAATATTCTATCGGAAAATTTCGATCGAAAACTTTTGAAACTTGGATGGTACAAGGTTTTAAAGTATTGCAGAATTCGTAAAAAGTTTGCTTAGCTGGTGAATAACATCATTTTATTCAAATATTACTTGAAAAAGGGATTCCCGCATTTAGTAAATATTTATTTAAATGAAATTACAAAAAATGTAGGCATAACAATTAAAATTCCCATTTCGAAAAGCAGTTTATTTATTGAACAACTTGATTTGATTCTTCGCACCCATATAATTATGTGTCTACAAACTTTATAACCAGAATATTCCAACAATCAAATCATGTGGGAAAAAAACCACCTAAAATAAAGCCGCGCTCAAGTCAGTCAACCGCTAAGAGCACACACATTTACACGCACACTAACCGGAGTACCACGCATCAGCAAGTATAATGCTGTAGAAATCTTTATCACATTCTCAACTAACTATAAAACAATCGCCATTCGGCAGAGATAAAGCAGAAATCGAATAACATTCTATAAGCATACACATCGCATCAGTTTCACAAAATATTTTTTAAAGAATGAAAYTCCTTGCCGCGTTGTGTTTGGCATTTTGCCTATTCGTCGTTGAGTGTAATGGCGTGCCGGTGGAGAGGGAAACATTGCTGAGTATTGAAAAGGCGCAGCCAGTGGCTGTGGTAGCCGCGGAAGGACAGCMTCAACAACTGCGTCGTGTGGCACGGCATGGTTTCGGCGGTGGCTTTGGCAGGGGCTTCGGCGGTCCCGGCTTTGGTGGATATGGCGGTTACCCAATTGGTGGATATGGTGGCTATGGCGGTTACCCAATTGGCGGATATGGTGGCTATGGTGGTTACCCAATTGGCGGATATGGTGGCTATGGTGGTTACCCAATTGGTGGCTTCGGTGGAAGTTCGAGCAGTGCTTATGCAAGTTCTAATTCAGGTGGTTACCAATTCTTTGGTTAAATCTGTACCGTTGCATCTGATGTGTCAGCGTTCTAAGTGTTAATTAAGTTAATGTGTTTTAATTAAGATTAGAGAAACGTAATATATTAAATTTGTAATAATATGTGTGTAAGTACTAAATAAAGCTGTGAAAGTTTTTTAATATAGCGGATGATTCTAGTAGAGGTTAATTTCTTTTCAATAGTATATTTCTGACAGATCACGGGTGATTGGTGTCAAGCTGTCATGTTATTTTTGTTCAATATTGTTGGGAATTTCATCATGGAAGAACTTATGCCTGAGGAACGTTTACAAATCGTTCTTCTTTATTACAAAGCGGCATCGTTTCACTTTATGGACGCTTGAAAAGTTCCATGAAGATCTGACGTTTTCGAGCAAAATTTTGTTCAGCRTTGAGTCTGGATCAATAGGTACGTATGTAAACAAGCAAAATTGCCGCACTTGGAATGAAGATTAATCTGAAGGGATTGCCATTTCATGCAGAAAAAACAGCGCTTTGGTGTGATTTGTCGGCCCGTGGAATCATTAGTTCACATTTCTTCAATGATGCCGGTGAGATTTTTATTTTAATCGCAACTCGCCGTATTTTTGTTGGGTTCCTACAGCATTACTTATAGATACATAAAAAAATAAATAAAAAAGAAAAAACSTCAACTTCGATTAGCTACAACTAGATTTTTATCGTTTACTTTGTATGGCAGTTATGGTATATGGTGGAGTGGCCCGGTCGGAAAAACTTTTTTCAAAAAACTTCGATATAAAAATGTGAYTTCCATCGTTAGATATGTATAGCATCTATATGCCATAGTGATTCGRTCTAAAACAGTTCTTCGGTTATTGCAGCCCTTCTTTGAACAATAATTCTTGCTAAATTTCGTAAAGATATCTCAGAAAATGAAAAACTTTTCCAGCAATTGATTCCGAACGTTGGGTATATATGATAGCTGTATGCTATAGTGGTAAAGTGTCGGCGGTTCCATTAGGTTCTTGGGCTAAATCTACTCAGCTCATCATTCTGACCATCATGTTACAGACATTTCCTTGGTACACTTTCTATCCTTTTTCAAGGTATCAAAAAATCGCAAACAACTTATATAACCCCTAGCCCCTGTATATGGGATGCCCAAATTTGTGGAGTGAAACTGCAGTCTTTTCTGATAAATTAAAGATAAATTGTTTTTTCTTTCTTTTTCTTTTAAGCTAAACCTCCTAAAATTCATAGGTTTAATCTCCGGTTTAGTTAGATCAATGTATAGTGCACTCCTATTAGTTGTATATCGTTCTAAATCGTTTGTGCAAATATTTTGGTATCACGACTACATCTTTCTACTGAGTCATCCATTGAGATATTCAATACTTTTTTTTATGAAAAAACTACAAAAACTTCAAATTCAATGGGGAATTTGTATTATTAYTCAAAACAACATTTTTTCGCATTTAGTTTTTGAAAATTATCTCTTTCAAATATTGGCCGCGGCTACGTCTCATATGGTCCATCCGATGAGTCCAATTTTCGGTGTCTAGTTCGATCATTTCAATTGGCAACTGGAGAATAATAGACGTGATGTTTTGCTCAAAGCCTTGAACCGAAGCGGGATTGTCCGCATAGACTTAAGACTTTACATACTATAGTATACTTACAGGTAAAAGGTTAACGGTGTGATACCTCACAATCACCCAAAACGTGAAATTATATTGCTCACCTCAATCCATTGATTGGTACGATATGTGGTAAGTGGCGACGTCCTGTTGAAAGCAAATGTCGTCGAGATCACGAGCTTCAATTTCGAAAATGTCCGACCTTTTTGGAACCTCTTAAGAGCGGTTTCAGCTCTTGCACAAGCTATATTTTGTACGCTTTCAATTGAGGACCTCGACGTAAAATGCACCAACTCGTTCCATACGTCAGTCCGAGTTGCTGCGAACGGCGCCGAATCGACTCTCCACGGTCTGTTCGTGGTCTCATCAGGTTAAATATTATCCAATAATGAATGTCGCGTCTCAAGGTCGAAACACATTATTTTTCATAATAATGTAGAACGATTTGTAAACGTTTTYCCGGCGTAACTCATACAATAATGAACAAAAATAACAAAACGGCTGAGCACGATACACACATGATCCGTCAAACAACAGGCTACTAAAACAGTACCTATATTTGGATCACCCTTAATATGAGACAGAGAAAAATTTAGTGCAAGGTTGYCATATAAGCGCTGCAAGTTTGATGCTGGTACAGTTGTGTAGGTGTATTCGCGCTAAGGCTAAGCTTTACAAACTAAACTAGCTATTCCAGCAACATACGGATATTACATTTGCAAATAAATACCTAAAATATCTTGTAAGGCATTCATGACCGACACCCCTTTTTTACGGGATTTGCGCACAGCCTTTTCTTTATTTGAAAATAGCGAATGAATTCGTGTAAATTTCTGATAAATGATTTACTGCAAGGTCTAATTGCATTCATCCCGTGTCAGTTTAGCTGTTCTGGGAACTAGCCAAACAAGCTACGAGCTGTGTATTTTAAGTTCATTACCATCTTCTATAAATTTTCGAACATCGCATTAGATTTAACAAAAGACAGATTTTATTTGAAAGCAAATGCCTTGAAATTTTCGACTTTGCTTAAAGCTTAGAATATAAGCAACCGGTCTTGTCTTCAGCTTTCTTTCATGTRTACCGAGAACGAGTAAAATTTTGCATGTATCGATTGCAGTCGCAAAAAGCAAAAAGCGAAAAGAAAGTACGCAATCGATTGCATATTAAAATATTTGAACAATTCTAATGGACAGGCGTAATTCCAGTTCCAGTTYGAAACAATTGATTAAACTCACATTTGTATTAATATAATTATGGCTACAACAATTTGGCGAAAYCTTTTTTATGACGTTAATTCTGATAGCAGCGACAAGTATAAAATGGGCTATCGCCGTGATTACTCCAGTATACTTTCATTGTAAGTAAATCGCATCACATCCTTACATAGAAATTYCTCAGAATCGCCAGCCGACAAAATGCAAGTACTGACATTCGCATTCATTCTGGCATTTATTGCTATGGTGCACAGCTATCCTAGCTATATAGCATACGACGATTATGCTCAGGTGCCGGGATATCCGTTTAGTGGAATTTGGTTTAATGAAGAAGCTCCAGTGCGTCATAAGCGTGAACCACATAGACATCGTGGCGGTTATGGTGGTTATGGCGGCGGATATGGCGGCGGGTTTGACGGATATAACCCATACCAGGGTTACGGAGGTTATCAACCATATCAACAAAACTTTTATCCATATCAACAAGCTCCCATCGGACAAGCAAGTAGTATGGCCCAATCAAGTGCTGTTGCAAGTTCGGTTGGCAGTGCTGGCCCTGGCGGTCTTGGCAGTTCCACTGCCATTGCAAATGCAAATGCAGCTAGCACCGCTGGAAGTTATGGATACCCTGGGTTAATTGGCTAAATTGTAACTTGTGAACAATAATGGCCTGAAAAAGTATTCATAATAATAAATATAATGTGAACATTTAAATTGTAGCAATAAATTAGGCAATGGCAATATGCTGACCGTAAACTTGCAGTTTCCGTTCAAACACTTTTCTCTTTTAACATTTAATTTTTACCAAAGCCAGAGTGTACGCACACAGCTATGGCGTTGAAGACTGAGTAAGTTTTAACAACGAGCAATGCTCTGGACTGTAATTGGAAACAATTTCCATTGCAAAACATCATTGCGTTAAGATAGAATAAGATGCTGATCCACCACGTCATGAACTAAGAAATTTCGCCCTTAGACCGTTAAGAAATATCGAACCTCTATGATGCCAAGATGTCTTACGCATTGATTATAAACACCTTCAGAACAATTCCAAGCGGATTGCCTGGTACGCCGAAGTTGTGCTTTTCGCGRCGTTAGATTTTTGGTTTAGCGAAAGCTGTTCGGTGGAGGAGTAAGTGTCTGGAAACAACCCTGATTATTGTTCATTTTGTTTCAAATAAAACAAGAAAAATGTTAACATGGGTTGCACCGAAGTTGGATTTCATACAGGAACTAGATTCCGATCGTGCAGTTTGTATGTGCTATAGTGGTTCAATAAACGACGGTTCCGACAAATACGTGGTAAGGTATTTGGAAAAGAAAATAGGCAACATTTTTCAATTGATATGTTAATTTAGCACTTCGTGCTTCTAATTTATGCACTTCATGGCCATCTTATTACAATAATGTTACGTTAATGTTATTTTACGAATATTTGAAACCTGTTGTATAAAATAAAGGATCTATATATCAAAACTTCTATGAATATGGTTTTCGTATTTTACTTTATACTTTCCAAGTAAAATGATGGAATTTGTAGAATATTTTGTCAATTAAATCTGATTGAAATTAATGTAATGCTTCTAAAAATRTTGAAGTTGGTCACTCTGCTTCGCTATAAGCTGGTAGGCACAACATAAACAGCCGGGGTTAATCGATTACGCAGCCAGTGATATCCGTACTGCGGACTTGCTATGGACAATAATAATATATTTATATATATGAAGAAACCGTCCGTAACTTATTTATAAGTTCGAATAACAAGTATCAAAAGTTCAACTATAGAAAGTGCCCTTATAAACTCATATCGAAATTTTGCATTAATCAGCGAAAGTTTACACGTTCAATTAGCCACTGAAGATGATTATGTACAGGGATTTCCAATAAGAGTAATATGATGTCTATTCAACAAAAAAATAAAATTTCTGTCAATTTACAGTGAATAGAAGCCTACCTCGCAACGTTACAATCGACCAAATCAAATGCGTGAGTATGAAGAAATTGACAAGCTGGCCAACAGATGTTCCATTGCCCGATCACGAAGAAGTTCGAATGGCAATACCCGCCCGAAGAATAACAAAGCGGCGGCGAAGAACTGATAAGGAGCATRCATCCACTTTTTTGTAGAACATAGTCGGACGAAAGCATGCCCAGCGATTAAAATTTAAATGTGCTCTGCCCAATCCACAAAAAGAGAGACCCCACAATCTACGCCAACTACCGTGCGATAAGCCTCCTCAACATCACGTACATATAAGGTTCTATCGAGCATATTGTGTGAAAGATAAAAGCCCACCGGCAACAAACAGATTGGACCTTATCATAGTGGTTTTAGACCTGGAAAATCAACAACTGACCAGATATTCACCACGCACCAAAACTTGGAAAAGACCCGTGAAAAAAAGATCGACGCACACCACCCATTCGTCGACTTCAAAGCTGTTTTTGGTAGCACGAAAAGAAACTGGCTTTACTCCGCGATGCCTGAGTTTAGTATCTCCGCAAAACTAATACGGCTGTGTAAATTGAAGTTGAGCAATACACGACTAGGCTCCCACGTCACTGTTGACAGTCATTATTTCGAAGTCGAGGGATAATTTCGTCAATATTGGAAGCAGTATCAACAACAACAACAATGTTAGCCTCGAAATCCAAAGCAGAATAACTCTTGCCAGCAGATGAGTCAGTCACTCATAACTCCCGTCCTGCTATATGGTGCAAAGCCATGGACGATGACAATATCTGATGAATCTACGTTATGAGTTTTCGAAATAAATGTTCTGCCTAAGATTTATGGTCCTTTGTGCACTGGCAACGGCAAGTACCGTAGCCGATAAAGCTATATTGACATAGTTCAGCGAATTACGAGACTACGCTGACTACGTCATATCGTTCGAATGGAAACTGTACCCCAAGGGGAAACAAAGAAAGAGAGACGGAGGTGGAGAAAGACCTGGCTGCACTTGGTATCTCGAATTGGCGCCAAATTGAGAAAAGAAGAAAAAACGGCAGCAATACTTTCATTAGCTCGAGCAGTTCTTTATCTTATTAGCACCTAAATATTAAGTATGTATATAAAACAATTTTCGTTCGTCATTTTCAACATTTCGACGAATAGCGAGTACAGATGGACGATTATTATGATCAAATATTAAACAACGATTAATTTTTTTTTTTTTCGATAGTAAAATTGAATAGTTTGTAAACGTTGTTCATGCGTATATATTTCTACAATTTATTTGTAAACATTACTGAATACAATGAAAAAATTACATATCACGACGTATTAAAAATGGCCGAAACGTCAGCTAGAAATCATATCATCTCTATTGGAAACCCCGTTATTAAGCTTATAAATATAAAGAAAGTATGCTGAAATTTTACAGATTAGTTACGTTTATTATAATTAATTGACTCCAGAAGCGCGTGCTACTTTTAGCATGGTACATGGTACTCTGGCAACATGTTGCAACAGAGTATAATACGATTGTCCGCCCAACGGTTCGTTGTAATACCTAAAACTCAAATTAAGTATGGAGTTGTATGTATGAGAATATTCAAGGAGACAAAGATGTCTGCTAAAATATAGTGCTCTTTGAATGAATAGGTATTGCAGATGGACAAATCGGAACATTGCCATACCCGTAAAATGCGGTAAGCAGTCCATCATTTCTATGTTGGTGAGGGGGCATCAAAGCTGTCATCACAACAATGGTATTTGCGRCTTTCAGGTCCTTTGATACATAACATATCGGCCACTTATTGAGATATCTTAATTGACTTAGATCGATATCTTCCCTCTAAAATAATGTTGTCTGCTGTRAAAAAGGTCATACCTCAGTTCAGCATTTCCCCTAACACAAATATACCGAATGGCCATATATATAATAATAGGATGACTTTATACCTTGTTTATCGGTCAATATACTTGTATGTATATAATATGTTATAAAATTATTTTTGGTGTACGGTAATTTGGTTCCCAAAGTAAGTGAAATTGGTTCATAAACTACCCTTAATTCTATATACCTAATAGTTTCTACGCCTTCATTTCTAACAAACTGGWGGATCATCTAATTTTCGTTTGCACCGAAACTTAGCGCTTCCTTACTTGTTTATCTATTTTCCCTACCCTAACAACATAGTATTTGGTGAGTTCATCTTGCATGATTTAATCCAAATTAATTTATTATTTTCTATTTATTTGCTAATTTGTGGCGAATATGTCATATAACGAAAGTGACACACACTCTTTTTATATATAATACATATTTCTTTTTTTTTAAGCAACATTAATAGCATATTTATAGGCACCACAGAAAAAATCCCCTTTTTTCAATGTATGTATTTCACACATAAGCCACTTGAGTTGGCCTCTTCACAAGCGATTAATTGCCCAGCAGGTTTGGCGTTACCAACACTTGAGAAAAGAGCTTTGGCAAATTCACCAAAACATATATACGTGGGRATGGAAAGTAAACAAAAACAGGTAAGGTGGGCTAAATTCGGTTGTAAATTAATATTTTATATCTCGAAATGTACCATTAATAGTGGCGGGGAAATATTTTCAAGTGWTGGAAAATTTTTGGGTATTTTAAAAACTGTTATGTATGCCAAATTTATAACCAAACAAGAAAAAACGTTAACTTCTGCTRCACCGAAGCTAATATACCCTTCACAGGTGTATTTSTTTTAGTAACTATGTGTTCAGTTTATATGGGAGCTATAGTATTCCGATCTGAACAATTTTTTTGGAGTAATCCATGTCAAATTTCGTGAAGATACCACGCCAAATGCGAAAGTTTTCCATACAAGCCCTTGATTCCGATTGTTCGGCTTGTATGGCAGCTATATACTATAGTTAGCCGATCTGAACAATTTCTCTTGATATTACATTATTTCTATGAACAATCACTCATACCAAATTTCGTGAATATATCTTATCAAATGCAAAAGTTTTCCATAYAAGAAGTTTCTTCCGATCGTKCAGTGTATATGGCAGCTATATGCTATAGTGAGCCGATCTGAACAATTTCTTTCGATATTACATTATTTCTATAAACAATAATTCACACCTAATTTCGTGAAGATACGTTGTCAAATGTGAAAGTTTTAAATACATGAACTTGACTCCGATCGTTCAGCTTGTATGGCAGCTATATGTTATAGTGGTCCGATATCGGCAGTTCCGACAAATGAGCAGCTTCTTGAAGAGGAAATATCATTTGCAAAATTTCAAAACGATATCTTAAAAACTGAGGGACTGCTTCGTATATATACAGACAAACAAACGGACAAGACTAAATCGCCTCAGTTCAACATACTGATCATTTATAAATAGTATATACTTTATAGGGTCTCGGACCCTTCATTCTAGGTGACTTTGTGACAAACTTAATATACCCTGTTCAGGGTATAAATATTCGCTGWTGAAACGAAGGCTGTTGATGGAACACTACTGGTATATTTTTTGTACGGTAAACGGATTACTTGGGTTTCCACGGGTAAAAAACAGAATTTTTTCAACAATTTTTTTCTTATATAAAAAGTAAGAATTACTTTATAGGATAACTTCTTACAGGATCATCTAAAGGGAAAAAATACGAGTTTTGTTAAAACCTTAACTTAGAACTTGGAGGAAGGGGGAAAACCTGAAAATGGTTTTTCTAGCAGACCATTTAAAATTCGGTGATTTTTTTTAAATAGTTCCAAACGAAAAAACATCGGTAGAGTAGTTCTCGAGAAATTTTAAATCTGGCCAACCGATTTCGAGAAAAGCGCGTTTCAAGGCGGCACTCTTACCCTAGCCAGCCTCGAGCGCACAAGTTCTCAAAGCTGTATCTTCGAAACTATTACTCGGATCAACTTGAAAATTTAGGACAAATTTACATTTKTTGAAACCCGTTAATCCATGTAACCCATGGAAGTGAAGTCGGTTGACTTTGCAGATAGGTTCGGTACGATTGGACCTAACCTTAAACCGCATTTTGTGGCCCTGTTCAAATTCGCCCGTATGAAGTACCGATCTTCCTTGAGTACTGAGGAACACGTGTGTGAAGTTTTAATTAAATTATGGCTTGCACTGATGAGCAGACAATTACCCGGAATTCATTTCGGATCTTCACCGCGGCCATTTATATACATTATATGTAACTATAGTTTCTCGAACAATCGTTAGGTGAACAAAACTATGCTAYTCTATAACAACATTTTACGTGAGTATAAAAATTCCTATAAGAAGTTAAAAAATTGTATAAATTAAAACAATACACATTGACACTGGTACTAATTTCGCGAGCAGTCTTTGGAATTGCCTAGAGCTCTTTTATCACAGGCGCAGCTATAAAACGCACAGCCGCCGCTCTGAATGAGTAGAAGTCTAATAGCATCTAACCATAACAATCAGTTTTGTTATAATAGAAATAGTGCGAAGAAATCTTTAGAGAATGAAATTTATTGCCGCGTTGTGTTTGGCGTTAAGCCTGTGCGTGGYGGTGTGTCATACTGCGCCCGTGGAACGTGAAACGCTCTTGAGCMTTGAAGACGCACAGCCTGTGGTGATTTCTGTTGAGGGGCAACCGCAACCATTGATACGCGTAGCACGTCATGGTCATCGTGGTTTTGGTGGTTATGGCGGTTATGGTGGTGGTCCCGGATATGGTGGCTTTGGTGGAGGCCCTGGATATGGTGGCTTCGGTGGAGGCCCTGGATATGGTGGCTTTGGGGGATATCCTGGATACGGTGGCTTTGGGGGAGGTCCTGGTTACGGTGGCTTTGGCGGAGGTTATAGTAGTTCTAGTGCCTCTKCTAGCTCAAGTTCCGGTGGCTACTTTGGATAAAATATTTCCTTGAATAGTGGCATTAATTATAGTATTTATTATTTTGCAATTCTTTTTTATTAATAAAATAGTGAATTTAATTAAAATCACAAAATAGTTTCAAAATTATGGACCTTGAAAGGCTCAAATAACATCTAATTTAGTGAGTAAAATTACTCWACAAAGAAGTTCCATTAAATTTTGTTTGCAGAACAAATTTCTGGYGCCGAAAAGCTTGGAATGTTAGAAATGCATTCGGTGATAATTGTTTGTCGCAAGCCCGTTCTTTGATTGGTACAAATTATTTAAAATGGGTCKAGAAMGCGTTRACGACGAACTTCGACCAGAACGGYCATCAACATCAAATGATGATCAACACATCAATAAAATAATAGAATTGATACTTCAGAATCGAGGACTAACAGATAGAGATCTTACTGGCATCRTTGGAATATCGTATGGWTCAATAAAAGACCATTTGGGCCTAAGAAAAAAGAAGGCACGATTGCTTCATAATCCACAAAATTTTTCGAAAAAACAGCGTCGCGTTAACAGCTGTGAAACAATGCTTTCCGACTACCAGGTCGTCATGYACCGTATTATTACTGGCAATGAGTATTGGATCTATATCTACGATACGGCAGCAAAGTTAAGGTTATGTTGACAGTTTCCTTAAATTTTCGAAGTGTGGCGCACTCCGAATTCCTTGCGGCTGAATAAAATGTCAATAAAAAATAATATTTTTAACAACAAAGCGGCGGGTGCCGATGAATTGCCGGGCAAGCTTTTTAAACACGGCGGCGAAGAACTAATAAGGAACCTGCATCAGCTTCTTTGCAAAATTTGGTCGGACGAAAGCATGCCCAACGATTGGAATTTAAGTGTGCTCTGCCCAATCCACAAAAGTGAGTATCCTTAATCAGCGCCAACTACCGTGGGATAAGCCTCTTCAACATCGTGTTCTATCGAGCATATTGTGTGAAAGATTAAAGCCCACGGTCAACAAACTGATTGGACCTTATCAGTGTGGCTTTGAGACAGGTAAATCAACAATTGACTAGRTAATCGCCATACGCCAAGTCTTGGAAAAGACTCGAGAAAAGAAGATCGACACACCCCACCTTTTCATCGATTTCAGAGCTGCGTAAATTCGCGTTGAGCAAGACCAAAAGCTCCGTCAGGATCGGGAAGAAGGTCTCCGAGGATACGGAAACGAACAAAAGGGTCTGGTAGTGTACGACGGCAAGATGAAATATCTCCTGTCATCAAACAAACTGTCGCCGCACTCCCGTCACTGTTGACAGTCATAACTTCGAAGTCGTAGATAATTTCATCTTTCTTAGAACCGGCATCAACACCAAACCAACGTCTGCCTCGAAATCCAACACAGAATAGCCCTTGCTAACTTCGGACTAAGTAGGCAATTGAGAAGTAAAGTCCTCTCTCCAAAGCCAAATCAAACCAATAAGTCCCTCATAATCACGTCCTGCTATGTATGGTGCAGAGGCATGGACGATGATAACATCTGGACATGAGTCGACGCTACGAGTTTTCGAGAGAAAGGTTCTGCGGAATTTTTATAGTCCTTTGCGCTTTGCAGAGGAAGAGAATGACCTACACTCCTTTGGAAGGACCAGGTGGAGACGGACCTGGCTTCACTTGGAATCTCCAATTGGAGCCATCTTGCAAAAAGAAGAAACTACTGGCCGGCTGTGGTTAACTCGGMTATAACGGCGTAAGCGGTTTCTACGCCAGTAAAGAAGAAGCTGAGCAGTTTTAGATTTCGACGCTTTTAAACACTCTCTTGTCCTTCATGATTTGGCTGATTCCGCTCGTATGCGGATTGCGGCCCTCGCTCTGGAGGGCAATCATTGGGTTTTTACGTTAAAATGTTCTGTCTTCCTAATCCTCCACTTTTTGTGTGTCAAATAATAGTATTATGCGAATATTTGCGAAAATCGCTTTTTTATAGCTTTCTTATAGTTTGTAAAATATTCAAATTATATTTGCGAATTCTAAACCTCAGATCATTGAAAAGCGTTAAGCTTTGAATACCATTAAAATCTTTGCGACTGGACGTATAAACAAGATATTATTTAGAAAAGCAAAACTAATATTCAAAATTAGAGACCAGCAAATGCGTTGGTGAATGAACACTACCTACATTTTTATACTCTCGCAACAATGTTGCTAAAGAGAGTATTATAGTTTTGTTCATATAACGGTTGTTTGTAAGTCCTAAAACTAAAAGAGTCAGATATAGGGTTATATATATCAAAATGATTAGGGTGACGAGTAGAGTTGAAATCCGGATGTCTGTCTGTCCGTCCGTCCGTCTGTCCGTCTGT